AAGGCGGCGCACCATGGCCCGCGCCCAGGCTCTGGTCCTGGCGCTCACCTTCCAGCTCTGTGCGCCGGAGACCGAGACTCCGGCAGGTAAGTGCGCGTCGGTCGCACCAAGCTTGCCCTGCGGAGTCCACGGGCCCGTGGCGTAGCTCGGAAGAAAGTGTGAGTTTTGGGTGACCGGGCGTTCGGAGCCTGCTCCCTGTGTGTGTCTGAGTGTTGGATGTGCGATCCTGTGCTCACGGTATCCTGTGCCTGCGACTGTTGTGTATCCATGAGATGTGTGTGCAAGAAAAGGTGCTGTGTGTGTTGTGTATCCACGAGTTCCTTGGGGTGAACGTTGAGTGCATTGAGGCATCGGGTATGCGCTGAGGGTGTGTGTGTCCGCCAGTGTTCAGTGTTTGTGCAGCCAAGTAGGTTGTGTGTCTGTTGTGTGTTGTGTGTGCGTCTGAGTTTGGTTGTGTGGCTGGAGTTGTATCTGCTATGTGTTGCATTTGTTTGCATTTTGTGTGCCGCGGCAGGGAGTGCTGTTCGTTGTGTGCCTGACAATGTGTTGTGTGTTTGTGTTACGCTTGTGACCGGGAGTGCTCTGTGGATTCTGCCAGCGAGTGTGTGGTGTGTGTGCATGTGAGATCTATGTACGTGTGTGAAGGCGTGGGAACGGGTCCGGAACGTGTGTGTCCGTGCGCCGTGTGCGCGATGGGTACGTGTGGGAGTGTCTGGGGTTGGTGGTGTGCTTCGCCCGGGGCTGTGTGGGTCCGAGTGAAAGCCCAGTGTGCCGGGAATGCGTGTGTAGGAGCGTGTCTGGAGCGGATGTGAGTGTGTGAGTGTGTCCGTGCGCGCTGGCTGCGTGTCTAAGAATGTGGGGAGTGGGGTGCGCGCTTGGCCGTGGCTGAGTGTGCGCCCAGGGCCCAGGCCGCCCGAGGGGGCAGCGGCAGGATGTGCAAGTGTGTGTGTGTGTGTGTGTGTGTGTGTGTGTGTGTTCCCCGCGTGTGTGCGTGTGTGGCTCGCGGG